ATGTCAATATAAACTGGGTTTATAGAAATTAAACATTTATCTTTTTGAAATGAAATTAATTTAATGCTAACAAAATTAGAAAAACAAAGCAAAAGGGTGGCTCAGTCGATCAAAAGGTGAACAATTTCTTAGACATTCATAAAATGTAGACACTACTTTCTTGTGGATCTGTACATTATCCGCCACCTTGTAAGAATTCTGCCACATTACATTTTAATATTATTATTTTGAGATTATATCTTTAATCAATAAATTAGATATATGAGATATGCAAGGTTGGGTTAATCTTCGATTAGCAACATTTTTATTCGGCTCTTCCTCCTTCAACCGCCCTTAATTTAGTTGAATAATTAATTTTGCATGTGGTCCAAGTTGGTCGGTTCTTGTAATATTAACATTATGTGAAAATGCAAAATATTACATTTAAACTATTTTAGCTTGAAAATTAGGTGGGAGAAGTTTACATTCTCGACATGGCTCTTTATTTTTGTTAATCGTCGTATTTGGATCTTTTATTCGCGGTTCTCCTTTATCTCGGCGTATATTGTTCTTTCCGCGTTCTCCGTTGATCGAGTGGGTTTTTCATGTTTCTCCGTTTAGCGGTAGTTTTGTATTATAGATATCCCTAAAATGTAGATCTTTGTTTATCGGTAATTTTTTGGGTTTTGTTCTCAGGTAATGTTTCAGGTTTTGTTCCACAATAATCTTTCGGGCTTTACTTTCCAGTAAACTTTCAGACTATGCTTCCGGAGTATCCAACTTTTTAGTTTGACTCGTTTATATATTATTAATACTAGAGTAGTATCCGTGGTACATACGGGTTTTTGTCTATAAAATGTCTTTCTCAACCGTTTTTAGTATGTATTTGTTTTGTTTCTTAGCAGTTTGATGTTTTCAGTATTTGTATTTAGTTTGATAGTAGATATTTGTTTTTTATTCTTGGATTTGGATCTTGTAGTAACCATTTTTGAGTTTTCACACTTTCACCTTTTTGGACTCTACAAAGTTTTGAATGTTTTTACTCTTCTTATGAAGTTCTTGTAGTGTGCTTTATAATCGCACATGATTCTTTTGCAGTTGATTGTGTTACGAATTTTGGTAGAGATTTTGAAAAGGAATAAGCTACATGGTAAAACAAGAAACCAAGGAAAACTCAGGCTATGGCCCAAAAAGAAAAAGCAGGCCCAATTGACCAATAAAATTCAGAAGACCTATCCATATTATACCGACGCATTTCACGAAAGAAAGGATTCATTGGCGTGTGACCACAAAAAAAAAAAAAAACAGAGGCGAACCCTAATTTCTCCGATCATGCCGCCGATTCTGAGATCCGTAATTGCGCAGGTACATCGAAATCCTTGGATCACGACTATGGATTTTGTTTTTCGTCCTTTTTTTTTCTTAAGACCCAAATTTTACAGTGTTACCAACGCGGAGGGAGATCGATCCGTAATTTCTCTTCACCCCCTGGAACTGGAAGCAGCACCAGTGGTACCTTTCTCTAATTCCACTATCAAATTCGCGACTCGGATCGTTTGCGGTTTTGTCGATATGTATTTGCAATCGGAGGGAGAAAAAAAGGTCTGATTTTTATTGTCGTTTGTGTTTGTAGCGACGATTGGAGGATGGGATATCGTCAAGTGGTGTTTTAGTCGAGCCTTATCGACTACTGTGGGAGTTGGCGCAGGTATGGAGAGGGAGTGATAGAGAAATTCTCATGCATTTTTTTGAGTCAAA